TCTGACAATATTTGCTAGCAATGAGTTTGAGTAGTAATAATTGTTATTTTTTTGTGGTTTTTATTATGTAATGTGTTCAAACGAACCATATTTGTTAGCAGTGAGTTAAGTCGTAATAACCGTTATTTTTTGTGGTTTTTATTATGTAAAGGATTTAAGCTAACAATTTTTGCTGTCAGTGAGTTTAAGCAGTAATAACTGTTTGTTTTTTTTTTTGTGGTTTTTATTATGTAATGGGTTCAAGCTGGCTAGTAGTGAGTTTAATCAGTAATAACTATTACTTTTTTTGGTGGTTTTTATTATGTATTGGATTTAAGCTGACAATATTACTCACGGGAATAGCTTTGGGTTTAATCTGACTATATTTGCTAGCAGTGAGTTTAAGCAGTAATAACTGTTATTCTTTTGTGGTTTTTATTATGTAATGGGTTGAAGTTGACAATATCGGCTAGTAGTGAATTTAAGCAGTAATAACTATTACTTTTTTTGTGGTTTTTATTGTGTATTGGGTTCAATCTGACAATATCTACTAACAGTGAGTTTAAGCAGTTATTCTTTTGTGGTTTTTATTACGTAATGGATTCAAGCTGACAATATTACTAGCTAGTAGTGAGTTTAAGCCGTAATAACTATTATCTTTTTGTGGTTTTTATTATGATTGGCAATCAGAGTCAGTTTAAGCAGTAATCTATATTTTTATTAATTTAACGCGTGTAATTCATCACTTTATTTATTTATTTTTAACAAATTTTTATTAAAAAAAGAAAAGAAAATCAAAACCACATTTTAAGACCATTTTAGAATAATTTTGAATTTTCGAAGAGAGGGAGACTTGAGCCAAGTACCCAAAAGTTTGTCCATTTCAGTTCCTCAGCCCTACCTGGTTCAGACTCTCAAGTCCAAATCCTTTCTCCATCGGACTCTCTCATGGTTCCTCCAAATCCCCACTGAAATTCTCAAGGTTTACGTATGTAATCAGCCCATCACTCTTCTTCTTCAACACTACTGCCCAATTTTCAAACCCTACTGGAGCTTGTTCTCATGGATTCCCTCCGTTCCACTTACAGAGATGAAGACGATGAAGAAGACGAGTCCGTTCCCGCCGCTGAAATCCACCCACCGGAGCTTCCTGAACCACCAATGGAGGCGAATGTTAGCGGCTCCTCAACAGAGCCCCAGGATGGTACCAGACAAGACCCACCTGATGCTTCTGAAGAAATCTCCGAAGAGGAACCGGCTTCTGATGACACTGAGAAATCGGCTAAATTAGCGAAGTCACCTGGGAACGACGACGACGATGACGAAAACCCACCTACGAAGAAGCGGAAGCAATTGTCTTCGCTTAATCAGCCTGTGGAGGAGGAGAAATCGCCATTGCTTGAATCGGATACTGCTAAGAACAATGGTTCGGCTAGTGGTAATGCTGCACAGGCGGCAACGGCTTTGAATCCGAAGAAATCGAAGAAGAAGAACAATAATGTTTGGGTTACGAAGTCGACTCGGAAGGGGAAAAAGAAGAACAAAGCTAATAACAATCACAATGCACCAACTGAGGATCCTGTCTTGATCACTCCAGTTCCGAGGTTCCCTGATAAAGGGGATGACAATTCCGATATGCAAATATGTTTGTCAAAGGTTTATAAGGCGGAGAAAGTTGAATTGAGTGATGACAGAATGAGTGCTGGTAGTACAAAGGGGTATAGAATGGTGAGGGCCACTAGAGGGGTGGAGGAAGGGGCATGGTATTTTGAAATCAAGGTGGTGAGCTTGGGGGAGACTGGACATACTCGGCTCGGATGGTCAACGGAGAAAGGGGACTTGCAGGCTCCGGTCGGGTACGACGGGAATAGCTTTGGGTATAGAGATATTGATGGAAGTAAGGTGCATAAGGCTTTAAGGGAGAAATATGGAGAGGAGGGATACAAGGAAGGTGATATCATTGGTTTCTATATCAATTTGCCTGATGGGGCTTTATATGCGCCCAAGCCGCCACACTTTGTTTGGTATAAGGGGCAGAGGTACATTTGTGCTCCTGAAGGGAAAGAGGAGCCGCCTAAAGTAGTTCCTGGTATGTTGGATTACTTTACTAAGTGCTGACTACTGATGCATTCTATGTTCATTTTTCTTTTAAGTGAAGTTGTTGAGGTTCTGCTGTATGTTCATGCAAGCTCCATTGAAAACATTGAAACTGCGTTCTGAGTGTTATATAATAGTTCATTGCCTCTTAACTTGTGCTTTTGATATGCCAATTCGTTTTCAATTTTCGATTCGATAGTTGGAGTTCGAAAAAGTGTTGTGTTCTTAATATTTAGACTGTTTTAGGACTTCCTAGTGTTAGCTAGTCGTGCTGCCCTGTGAAACAAGTGATGAGAAAGAACAAAGTTTTGTCCCTACATGAGGCTAGATCTAGATGTAATAGCCCAAGCCAACCGCTAGCAGATATTGTCCTTTTTGGGCTTTCCCTTTCGGACTTTCCTTCAAGTTTTTTAAAACGCATCTGCTACGGAGAGGTTTTCACATCCTTATAAAGGATGATTCTTTCTCCTCCCCAACCTATGTGGGATCCCATAATCCACCCTCCTTCGGAGCCTAGCGTCCTCGCTGGCACTCGTTCCTTTCTCCAATTGATGTGGGACGCTGACACATTGCCTCATGTCTACTCCCCTTCGGGGTTCAGCCTCCTTGCTTGCACATTGCCCGGTGTCTGGCTCTAATACCATTTGTGATAGCCCAGGCTCACCTTTAGCATATATTGTTCTCTTTGGGCTTTTCTTTCGGCCTTCCCCTCAAGGTTTTTAAAATACGTTTGCTTGAGAGAGGTCTCCACACCCTTATAAAGGGTGTTTCGTTCTCCTCCCGGTTTCAGCCAATTTCTGTCCCCGAAGTAGGCTGCTCTTGAGCTGCAATTGGTCAATCATGAAATTATAGCTTTTGTTATTATTGTTATTTTACTTGAAGTTGCTTGCTACTTTAGTGACATTCATTTTAAACTAAGGCTCCTCTAGGATTATGCATCTGGTCGTGTTTTCATCAAAATTTGAGTAATTTTGACACTAACATAGTTGGATGATTCTTTACGAATATGGGCACTACGTATGGTGTTGCATTTGAGGAGAAAGGTTCTTTTTCTTTAGTTTTTATTGTCTCTGATTGGTTGTGTTTGTTTAGTACGTGATAAAACTCAAGCCATGCTCCAAAGAAGTGGGTCAAGAGGGTAGTGAAGGACGGAGATAGCTCATGAAAAGCAATGTAATAGCTCAAACCCACTGCTAGTAGATACTATCCTTTTTGGGGTTTCCCTTTCGGGTTGGATTGTGAGACCCCACATCGATTGAAAAGAGGAATGAGTCCAACAAGGATTCTGGGCCCCAAAGGGGGGTGGATTCTGAGATCCCACATCGGTTGGAGAGGGGAACGGAACATTCTTTATAAGGGTGTGGAAACCTCTCCCTAGCAGACACGTTTTAAAACCTTGAGAGGAAGTCCGAAAGGGAAAGCCCAATATCTGCTAGCGGTGGGCTTGAGCGATTACAAATGGTATATGAGCCAAACATTGGGCGGTGTGCCAGTAAGGACGTTGGGCCTTGAAGGGGGGTGGATTGCGAGATCCTACATCGGTTAGAGAGGGGAATGAAACATTTTGTATAAGGGTATTGAAACCTCTCCCTAGCAGATGCATTTAAAACCTTGAGGGGAAGTCCGGAAGGGAAAGCCTAAAGAGGACAATATCTACTAACGGTAGACTTGAGTTGTTACAAGCTGTGTAAGTATACAACTGCAGGGATGCGAGGTGGGTGTTTGATTATGAACAGTATGAGTCAACTGTCATGTTGGTTATATAGCGATGAACTGAGATTCAGGAACTCGATATAGATCCCCCAGAAATCTGTTGCATTTTGCCTTACATTTTTCATTCTCTTATCTCCCTTATGAAGTTACATGATGCGTCCGACATTCATTATGCAGGAAGCGAGATTTCGTTCTTCAAAAACGGAGTATGCCAAGGGGTTGCTTTCACGGATCTGAACGGAGGTCGCTATTATCCTGCAGCCTCCATGTACACTCTTCCTAATCAACCAAATTGTGTAGTCAAGTTCAACTTCGGCCCAGATTTCGAATCCTTTCCAGAGGACTTTCAGGGTCGTCCTTCGCCCCAACCCATGGTCGATGTACCTTACCATGGCTTCGACAACCAACCTGAAAACGGAGTTTCAAACGAGAAAAACACAGTAGTTACCAAGTAGTACCATCTTTTGTTTCATGTGTACTCTTAGTTTATGTGCATTAGGACTGACAATGGGAAGATGAGTGGTGTAAATTTTTCTAGTTACAGCTTACAATCAGCAGAAGAAAGCAATGTTCTATGTGAGTAGTGATAGACACTGTATGAGCCCAAACAACATTTGTCTGATTTGCTTATAAGTTCTTGAAGGCCAGACTCATGAGATATCCTAGTCATTTCATTTTTTATTCTCTTTTAGTAGGGACGTTTTAGCTATCGAGTTAAGACGTTTTAACTATCAGGGTATGTTGGGTTAAGGCGTTTTATCTATCGAGTTATATTGATGTTGATTGTTAATGTATTAATATTTAATTGTTGAATTCTTAACTCGTATAATAATAAGGTTATACAAAAACGATATTGTCCACTTGTGGGACACGTTCATTGGGCTTTCCCAAAAGGTTTGGGACACCAACACCTCCCCCCTTGATCGAGGCTCGAGAATGCCTTCAAGGCTCATAATACATTGTTCGAGGACTTTGATACCATGTTAGATGAATACAACTCTCCACAATAATATGATATTGTCTAGTTTGAGCTCCTCCAAAAGGTCTCATATCAATGAAGAGTGTATTATTTGATTATAAACCCATGACCATTCTTTAAATTAACGGATGTGGGACACTTTCATCCGACGTGGATTAATAAAAAAAAAATAATAATAAAGGAAAGAAAAAAAAAAACTAAAAGTTTAGATGAAAAAATGTGTTATTTTTGTAACCTAAACATTTGGTCATTGAGCCAAAATAGGTTCGTCTCTTCGTCTCTGCAAATCAACACCCTCGTCGGTGGCGGCCGAACCTCACTCACCTCTCTCCCGGCGGTCACACGAAGCCCCAGCTCTCTTCTTGGCCATCTCTTCTTCTAACCCAGGAAAATAGCTCTCTTTCTGTAAACAAAAGCCCCCCAACTAGCAGCAACTGCGGCTAATATTCCCTCATCCAGCCTCGTCTTTAGAAGAAGCTTCTTTGGTTGTCAGCATTTTCGGTCAGTTCTGAATAAATCAGACCCATGAAATGTTTTCACTTGTTTCTTCAATTGTTGGGTTGTTTTAGTCTGTGGTGTGCTGTTCTTCATCGATTTAACATGATATAATACGTTTCTGACGTTGTAGTTTGAATTTTCAGGAAAAGGGTGTACTAAATGGAGCAGAGATTAGCCAATGCGTGGCGTCTCTCTGCGAATGAGAAGAAATTCATTGAAACAGCCCTTCTTTCGGATTTGAGGGTCGATGGTCGTCGCCCATTTGATTACCGTAATCTCACCATCAACTTTGGCAAGTAATGTTTCTCACTATGGGTTTTCGCTTTCTGGTATGATTTTTTGTGGGTGGTGATTAGAATGAATTTTTGTGCAGAGATGATGGTTCTTCAGAGGTGCAGCTTGGCCAGACTCACGCAATGGGCTTTGTGACTGCTCAGCTAGTTCAACCGTATAGGGATCGTCCTAATGAGGGCACTCTTTCTATATTTACTGAGTTCTCTCCTATGGCTGATCCCTCATTTGAGCCTGGCCGTCCTGGAGAGTCTGCTATCGAGCTAGGACGTGTAATAGACCGTGGTCTGAGGTAATTCTCTTTTTTCGTTCATTTTATTTGCTTTCTATATATGCTGGCATTGAATTCTTTGTGTGAATTGTGAGTAGAAGCTGTGTTACCTCAAGTCTTGGTGATATGAGGTTAGTTTATTACATGATTTAAGTGCAAATGGCGTATCTGAGGTTGAACAATGGTGTTTGATTCATTCGTTTCTGATCCGTGATGTGATTGGATCCTTTTATCCATATTCGTAGTTCATGCGCGATTAGTCATTTGCTGAATTGTTTCAACAATCTGTTGAATCCCAATGAAAGAGTTCACTAAAGTCGTCATATATTCTGATAATGTCTCTACCTAAATCAAGCGTAGCTCTGCATCAAAGACTAAGGTTGTTAGTTCTTCACTGATGAGATTTTCCTTTATGGTTACTGCAACATTGTATGCCCACATTGTTGCTTAGGTCGGAGGTTACCGTTCGGTATATGGAATTAACATTAAACATCTATATATTATTCAGTTACTTAATTGCTGATAAATTTAACTATCAATCTAAACTCCTGTTGTGTTGTCTAACTTGAGTACAATGCTTTTCTCTAGCTTCACAGTCTGCAAGTAACCTATGTAATCTAAGGTTTGAGGTATTAATGCAGGGAGAGTAGGGCAGTGGATATGGAATCACTTTGTGTGGTTTCGGGCAAGTCTGTGTGGGCCGTTCGAGTCGATCTCCACATTTTAGATAATGGGGGGTAAGCTTTTGAATATTTATTTTATTTTATTTTATTTTGCGTATTGTTATAATGATGCTAATACATGGTATTTAACAATCCTGCAAGCAGAAACCTTGTGGATGCTGCTAATATTGCTGCTTTGGCTGCTCTATCGACTTTTCGAAGACCTGAATGCTCACTGGGGGGAGATGACGGTCAGGAAGTGATAATTCATCCCCCTGAGGTAAGTTCTTCAAAATTCTCTTGGAATTTAACTTGAGGTGCATCCTGTTCAATTGATGTGACATTATTTACTTAAATGCATGCTGCTATATACAAACACGACGATCCCACATCTAATCGTAACTATTATTGTAATTATTTCATAAGAAACTTGTTTACATTTGAAAGAAGAGAAAAACAGCTTAAGGGTTGGAAGAGGGAACCCCCACCCACAAATAAACTTAAGAAGTGCTTTCCAATGTTCATGATCATTGGAAGACTATAGTTACTAAGGAATTTCCTGCATGAATACACCACTAAGAAGAGGTGTGCTCTACATACCTACCAAAACTTTAAAGAATACGAAGGTTCGTTTTCAACCAAATATGCTGATGGAGCGCTCTAACTACATAATTCAATGGAATTTTAACTCTTGTAGATAACCTCCAGTCTGTAAGGACTTCAAACAATCAACCATCTATTTGCTTAGGGAAACAACATGACATACCAACAGTATCCAAAAGACAGGATCAACCACGAGCAGAAATAAAACTATATGATCGATGGATTCTTCATTTCTAAGGAAAAGGCTGCATTGAAGGAGAAAGGGCCAGATTTATACACTTCCTTGGGAGGAATCCTGGGTTTGTAATCTTTTGTAAGCCAAGGACCAGCGGAACACTTCTGACTTTCTTTGGAATTCTAAGTTTCCAAAATTGACGAAATGAGAGAGGTTTTCAAAATAGGGGTGGACTTTGAGAGCTTCAAAAAAGGCAGACTTAGGGGAGAACATTCGTCGTTTCCCAAGCGACCAACAGACCTTGTCATCACCTTCTCCCAAGCATACAACATCCATCATTTGAACTTAAAGCTCAACCATCTTTTCATTTTTCTCTTTGAGCTTTGATTTCGAAGAACTTTTGTAACTATTCTATAGGCAATATTTTGCATAGTTGGAGCCGCTTAGCCTCAAGGGCGTTTCTCCCAATCCACCTACCTTTCCAAAACTGGATTCTCCTCCCTTGACAAGCTTTGAGAACCAATAAACAGAAAAAGTTAAATGGTTGACTGTGAAGGAGTTTAAGACAATTGGTTTTTCACGACAAGAAGCAAGAATGGTTACTTTTTGTCGAGAGAAGTAACCATTCTTACTCTTTAAGACAATTGGTTTTCTCTCGACAAGAAGAACCAATTTGCATAGTCAGATGGTTGACCGAGAAGTAACCACTCTTGCTTCTCTCATTTTCAATTGGTTTTTAGATGGAACCCCATGTTTATCTAATGTAGTACCAGAGCCCATGGAGGCAAACGAGTGTTCTGTTAAAGAGAAAAAAAGGATCCGACCCAAGAATGGTGAACTCAAAGATGTACCATCTCGAGGGGTCAGGTTGAGGATCCCACAGTAGAAAATGGAGAGATCTCACAATCTTTAAAAGATGCATTAGTTATTGCTCTCACTGTCAATTAGTTTTAATATGTACTACCACATTTATCCAATAATCCTTGGTCTTAAGATTTTTCTTTTGTGTGAAACAAATAATTGTGTTTGGGTTTATCTTCTATCCTAGTTGCCCATAACCTTGAATGTATCACATGGATGTTGCTATTTGACAGGTTAGGGAGCCACTTCCGTTGATCATACACCATCTCCCTATTGCAGTAACCTTTGCATTTTTTCGTAGTGAGAGCACCCTGGTAGGCTCAAATTCTTTAAATAGGCTGTGTAAAGTGTTCAGTTATATAGCAGTGTTGTCTAATTATGGGGTGCTGTGCAGGTGATAGATCCAACTCACTATGAAGAGGCTGTTATGGGGGGGAGAATGACCGTCACACTTAACGCTAATAACGATGTTTGCGCTATTCAAAAAGCAGGAGGAGAGGGTGTACTTCAGAGTGTGATCATGCAATGTCTTCGAATTGCTTGTGTCAAAGCTGGTGATATTACAACTAAAATAAAAAATGCAGTGAGTTTCTTTTTTCTAATTGTTTTTTAATATGACTTAATGATATAGCATCCTACTCTGTTTTACCCTGTTTTAGACTCTCCAAAAAAAAAAAAATAATAATAATAATAATCTCTTATGAGACACTCCAAATAAGAACACCTAGAGCCTAGAGGCACTGAAATGTGAGGGCAATTGAAGCCATTTTCCCAAGATTTCTATGAACCTCTAAAGATTCCTCTGTCTATCTCGATCGATCTATGACTTCCTCAAAGTAGCGACAACCTTCTAAATAATATATTCCCCGGGAAGGGGGATGGATGAGCACCTCCTCCGCGATGTCCTGATGGTGTGAGATAGTCTTTATACTATTCTTCCTTTTGTGGGATGAGCACCTCCTCCGCGATGTCCTGATGGTGTGAGATAGTCTTTATACTATTCTTCCTTTTGTGGGGGATGTACGAGCACCTCCTCCACGATGTCCTGATGGTGTGAGATAGTCTTTATACTATTCTTCCTTTTGTGGGGGATGTACGAGCACCTCCTCCACGATGTCCTGATGGTGTGAGATAGTCTTTATACTATTCTTCCTTTTGTGGGGGATGTACGAGCACCTCCTCCACGATGTCCTGATGGTGTGAGATAGTCTTTATACTATTTTTTTATCTTTATTTTAGATATGCTGTTGTGTTTTTATTGAATAATGCTAAAACCATCATTAACATTAGTCCATTTTGGGAAATTTAATATATGATTTTCTCCTTAAACTATATGGTGGAGACAATTAATTTTTCTTCTGATATTTTGTGGATATTACACATTGAACCTCCCCTTTTACTCATTTCCACCACAATCTTATGTTAGGTTGAGACTTACAATTCAGCTAGACAATTGCGGAAGATTAAGCGCCACCCTTCGGTTAATTTGGATGTCGGTAGAGCTGTGGCTAATATGAAGGATAGCCAAAAGAGTATCAATGAATTTTCTGACAGATTGAAATTGAATTCTGAAGACAGTATCGCGGGTCAAAGCAGGAGCATTGAGAGTGATGTTGGATCAACAAATCAAGGACAATTAAACAAGAGAGATTTAGATGCTAAGAATTTCATTGGGGGCCCTTCAAGCTGGTAAAGTGTTATCTTGATTATGGTTACACACCTAGTTTCTCTTATTCAATATGTTCTTCCCCAAAAGAAAATCTTAGGTGTGAACTGTTAAGTTTTGTAATTGCTTCATACTTTGAATTGATATTGCAAACTAAATTAGATTAAGTCGTTAATATCATCAGGTGAATGTACAATACTGAAAAGCATGACAATATCACACACCGATCTTCATGCCATCTGACATGCCATCTGCCCTCTGACAGCGTTGTTTTCTTTTTCCTAGGGACCCATACTCCAAAGGTGTTGATTCAGATTTCTTGAAAGCTACTTTAGCTGCACGTGGTACTTCGCTGTGACATTATAATTCGTCTTTTGCTTTAAGCTTCTATTATTATTGTTGTTGTTAGTATATATATGAATATGGTTCATCTATTTTGATTGAATATTAATTTGGGTTAGTTGGAATCTGCGTAGTTTATTCACATTGGCTAATTACGTTTTACGAACACGAGCATAACTCATCTGTTTAATCTGTTTAAGATATATGTCTTAGACCAAAGGGTCAGAGGTTTGAATCCGTCCTCCCAATGCTGTGTCAACTTGCAAAATCATTCTCTGCCGTTCTCTTTGTGCACAAGGGCAAAAACTTACTTCCAATCAACTAGTTGGCCTTTTCTTATGATAGCTTGTTGCAGGAAATCAAACCACAACGAAGAAACAGGACGCGAGCGATGAAACGATGTCCTCTGAGACTAAGCTTGATGAACAAGAAGCTAAGGTTGATGAGGGAAATTTACCTCCTGTTGCTGCTAAGATTTTGTCAGAAGAAAACGAGAAGAAGACGCTGAAAGATGCCGTGAAGCCAAAGAACAAGAGGAAAAAGAAGAAGACCACCATCCCCCCCAACATTGCAGATTAGTTCAATGGTGACATGATATCTTCTGAAATGTATGTCCACTTGACCTATACAAATGCTTGTGTTCTTTGATATGCATTCTTCTCTGGCATTTGAAAATCTCTCTTAATTGCAACTTTCTTTTTAGAGTTCATGAAGATGTAAATTTTGAAGCTCGACTTCGAAGTACTAGAATAGATCAAACGGAAGCATCTCTTATCAAACATGGAGAGCGTTCATGCCCGGTGCCCGGTTTCATCAAGGTTCGTTCAAAGAAATTCGAAACTTGAACTTGGTGAGATCCTAAGAAATCTGCATTTGGATGAACACTTAGCACAGAAATCTATGATGATGCTGTTGAAAAGGTAATGCAATTTCTGTCATGTTCATCATCTTACTATTGGAATCTTTATTTAGAGTAACATAGAGTGTTTAGAATCGTAGGCTTTTTCCTTGTTTGATTGTAAGTTCTGGCTGCTCCACTGAGATGATTTTCATTATTGTTTAGAGAACCCTTTTTCATATTACATTGATTATAAACTTTTTCGATGTCATATTTGAGGGAAAACAATGGTAGCCATTGAAATTCCTCTCCCCACCCACTTGGAGTTGACTTATGAGTTATGTGCAGGAATATTCTCAAGACAATCAATCTAAACTTTAAAACTAATTAGAAAATAAGTTTGTAGATCTTGTTCGAGCGGAATAGGGAATTTTATTATGGTTTTGTGATATCCCACTTCGGTTGGTAGGAGAACGAAACACCCTTTATAAGGGTGTGGAAACCTCTCCCTAGCAGACAGGTTTTAAAGCCTCGAGGGAAGCCTGAAAGGGAAACTCAAAGAGAACAATATCTGCTAGTGGTGGGCCTGGGCCGTTACAAGTTGTACTAGAGCTAGACATCGAGTGATGTGCAAGTGAGGAGGTTGTTATCCGAAGGGGGTAGACACGAGGTGGTATGTTAGGACGCTGGGCCCAAGGGGGGGGGGGGGAATTTGGTGGGGGGTCCCACATTGATTGGAGAAAGGAACAAGTGCCAGCGAGGACGCTGGGCCCTGAAGGGGGTGGATTGTGAGATCCCACATCGGTTGGGGAGGAGAATGAAACACTTTTTATAAGGGTGTGAAAGCCTCTTCCTAACAGACGCATTTTAAAAGCCTTGAAGGGAAGTCCGAAAGGGAAAGCTGGTGGGCCTGGGCCATTACCGTTCGTGTTGATCACCTTTTCAAAGGGGAAAAGGAAATTTTATGGTTAGACTTTACCGGAGCCTTANTGCTGGGCCCAAGGGGGGGGGGGTGAATTTGGTGTGGGGTCCCACATTGATTATGGAAAGGAATGAGTTTTAGCGAGGACGCTAGGCCCTGAAGGGGAGTGGATTGTGATATCCCACATCGGTTGGGGAGGAGAACGAAACACCATATATAAGGGTGTGGAAACCTCTCCGTAGTAGACGCGTTTTAAAGCTTGAGGGAAAGCCCAAAAGGGAAAATTCATAGAGGACAATATCTGCTAGCGATGGACTTAGGCCATTACAAAAGGTACTAGAGCTAGACATCGAGTGATGTGCCAGCGAGGAGGTTGTTCTTCGAAGGGGATAGACACGAGGCGGTGTGCCAGGACGCTGGGCCCCAAAGGAGGGGTGAATTTGGTGGGGTCCCACATTGATTATGAAAAGGAACTGAGTTCTAGCGAAGACGGGCCCTGAAGGGGGATGAATAATGATATCCAACATTGGTTGAAGAGGAGAACGAAACACCATTTATTAGGGTGTGGAAATCTCTCTCTAGTAGACGCGTTTTAAAGCCTTGAGGGGAAGTCCGAAAGAGAAAATCCAAAGAGGACAATATCTATTAGCAGTTGACCTAGGCCGCTACAGGTTTTGTTCTTATTAAAGGTAAAAGATATGGTTCGAGTCGTTCGAGTCTTGTATCGAAATTTATGTTTGGTACGTGAGTTTGCGTATTTTATAAATTTATGTTAGCACGTTTTCAACCAAATATATATACACATAAGGTGGGTCTAGGCACGTGTACAATAAATGCATAGACCATTTATCATTTATAGCATCCTTTACAAATTCAACTCGACCTTAAAATATCATTTTACTCCTTATACTAAAATTTAAAAATTATTAGTTTATTTTAAATCATTAATATTTTTTCATGTATCCATTTATAAATTAGGTTGTGACTATTTTTATAATATATAGTATTCCTAGGTTATATATTTCATTTCACAATCGAATAAAACTAGTTTATAATATTAAAAAAAAAAATAGTCAAAGTATAAAACTAAATAATATATATTTAATCTTGTATTAAAATATAAACTCGTTGCTACCAATCATTTTATATATGATTAAATTTTAAGGGACGTAAGCACAATTTGAGACCTTTGACTTTAATTTTTTAAAAAGAAAAGAAAAAAAAAATAGAATAACATCGTTTTTAAAAAATTAAATTAAGAATATTCGTGGACTGACAAACTGCATTACAGGAACGAAAGACAACAAACTACATATTAAATATCAGAAGAACTTTAAGAGTATTTTTGAATTTTTAAATTTTAAATTTTTTTTTAAGAGAATTAATAAAAAATTTGAAAGTTGAAGGTTAAAATTAAAAAGAATATTTTTGAAACAAAGTATTAACTGGTTCTATTCAAAACTAACACTATTTTCTTTTTTTGAAAGTTTAAAAATTTATTGAAATTTTTAAAAGTTCATATACAAAAATCAAATATATTTTTTTTTATCAATTTAACCAAATTAAAATTACGATTTTAGTTATTTGAATGTGTTGCATTTAACTCTGATAGAGTCTCTTTATAGAGGACAAAGTGGTAATTTCACCTTCATGATTCTAGCTTTTGTGATGCAATATGTATTACATAAAAAAAAAAAAAAAAAAAAAAAA